TAAACTTCAAAATAATAAAATATATATATATATTAACAAAAAAAAAAAAAAAAAGAAGAAGAAGAGAGAAAGCAAGAGTTCAACATACCGGTTGGAAAAACTGCTCCTTTCGTTATAGGTAATTCAGCAGCGGGGATCTTAAAGCCTGGAGAGAAAGGATTGTGAAAGGTCAGAAGAAGAGAGAAGAGTGAGGAATTAATTCGTAGTTAGCAGAGAAGAACAACAATGGTGAATGAGAAATATGGTTTTACAATGATCTGGTAGTTCGGGTATTTATAGATAGAAATCATGAGAGAGCTAGAAGTCCTAATAAAATAGGACGTATGTTAATCTTAGAATTAAACTGTGTTTAGGGAGACAATGTTTTTTTACATTGTCTTATCTCTCTAATAAAAATTATCTTATTTCTCTAATAAAAGCTCAAATTGAGAAAGAATATCCATATACCATATTATCTTGTTAAGATAGAGTTAAGAGGTGGACATGTCTTGAAAATAAAAAAATGGCCTCATTCCATAAAAATTATAAGATATATATTCTCATCTTTAAAGGCATATAAAGAGAGACTATACAAAGAGAGAGATAATGGGCACTTATTTTAGGAGGAAAAGGGTAGAAAGAGATTGAGAGAGACGTGGAGATAAATCTCGGACTTTAATGATAGAGATGGAAAATCCTAAATTTTATACAGAGTGAGGGACGTGGTATTTTTAGGGGTGACAAGAAACCCGGACCTAACCCATACCAGTCAGGTATACCTGACAGGGGTCTGGATATGGATCCAAGTTTTGGACCCGTGGTTAGTGTCCGGGTCCAATAAAAAATACCTGAATAGTCATAGGTTTGGAAACTGGTTCTGATATATCCAACCCGACAGGTACCTATACCTGAATTTTTAGTTAATTCAAAAGCCAAAGAAAGACCCATAAAATCATTTAAATACATTTCCTTTCCTCTGGTTCCCCAAATGGCCGAGCCCCATTGCCATCCTCCCTCTCTTCAATTCTCCCTCTCTCAGTTTCTCAAAGACACAACTCTCTCTCTAGATCTATAATGTATCTCTCTCTAATCGCCCACCCATTAAAAATTAGTTCTCTTTTGTTTACCATTGTAAATTACAAAAAAAAAAGCTTATAGTGAGGGTAGCAATGGATCCGACCAGACCTGAAACTCGACGGGTACAGATATGGGTCCAACGTTTGGACCCGAATACATTGGGTTTGAGTCTAAGTCCAGCCGGACTCGACCCATTGCCACCCTTAGGTATTTCTAACGGTAAAAAGGGCGATAGAGATAGACATGGACATATATCTCTAAATTAATGTCAACTTGTGGACCCGAATACATTTAGGTACGAGTCTGGGTCCAGCCGGACCCGACCCATTGCCACCCCTAGGTATTTCTAAGGGTAGAGAGGCCGATAGAGATACACATTGGGATAAATCTCTAAATTAACGCTGGAGAGATAAAAATTCTGAAATTTAATGTATAGATACAGAAGAGAGAGAAATTTCTAAATTTAAAGCAATCCTAAAGTACAAAATATATTATATTATAATAAATATATATCAGCATCTAATATATATTATAAAAAATAATTTAATCGTTATCATATATGCATGTAAATCTTATGGTTATCGTGTATTCATGTAAATCTTATGTGAAGGCTTTATAAGGAGAGATTCCGATTAATCTCTTCCTTCAAAATTATTAGAATTCCTTTTTATAATTAAAAAAATAATCTCTTGAATCTTATACGTTCAAACAAACCTTATCTATTTGGAATTATGATGTCATTGTAAATTATTTTTATATATTTAATTTATAGTATATGTAATACATAAAATATAATATTTATTATATTATATATAATAAGTAAATATCATATATTATATTATGTATTATATTATGACAAATATTATATTATATTATGTAATAGATATTTACAATACAACATATATTATATATTATTTTATATTTAATATATAAATAATAATAATACTAATAATAATAAAAATAATAGCAATAACAAACAATAATAATAACAATAATAATAATTATTATTATAATTATAATTATTATTATTATTATAATAATAGTCACAATTATAATAATTATATAATAATAAAATATCATTTTATTAGTATTAATGTTCTATTAAAATATCCTTTTAATAGTATTAATAATATATATCAGGATTGTTATATTTTAGTTTTTTTGTTCTTTTTTTAGTTTTTTAAAACAGATTCCAATATTCCTAGAATATGTGTCGGTATCTTTCTCATTTTACGAGAAATTCACGCAAATTCCACATTTTTACCAAGTTTAGCTAATGATATGTATTAAATTTTTTAGGCAGTTTATCGTTTTTTTAGGATACCAATCCTTGAACATAGTATCCATATAGATTTAAAAATGATAGGAATCTGGAAACTTGTTGAGAGAGAGGATAGGAAAGAGATGTTACAAAGAAAAACAAAGAACACCACTCTCAATAATAAATATAAAATTATTGTTGAATTTAACAAAAAAAAAAAAAAAGGAACATGACCTTGTGAGACCATCTCACATTTATGTGTGTGGGACTTCAAAGGATCACAATTAAATTTGATACATATCTCTAGAAAAGTCAAGTCCCTCACCCACGTGATAACTTTTTTAGAGATCTGTATCAAATTTAATGGTGATCTTTTGAGATCCTACACACATGGATGTGGGAGGGTCTCGTATGATCATCACTCATTAAAGAATTATTATCATATTTGATTGCATTTTTTTAACAAAGATAAAACATGAACAAAAAGAAGAAAAAGAAAAAGTAATATTGGTAATAAACATAGAATTATTGTTAAATACAATGACAATGTCATAATTCTATTTATCATGGTAATAATTTTACATTATTAATACCATAATTAATTATTTAAAATAAAGAATTATTACCATATTTGATAGTAACTGTTTACAAAGATAAATGAAAAACAAAAAAGGAAAGAAAAGAAGAAAAAACACTAATGAATAAAAATAATTAGGAAAGAATCTTCTTTTCATTTTGCATTCAGTAACATAAGTCATATCATATCTTTAAAGTATATTATTTATTGATGTAATTTGTAGTTTTATGTAATTATTTATTTAAAATAATTCTTCCTTGGTAATAAACTATAATTTTAAGTATATGATTTGCCTATGTAATTTATATTTTCGATTAACTTTATTTGTTATGTCTTTATTTTTCTTTTTACATTCTCAAATATATTGTTTTTTACTAAATTAGTCGAAATATATTTACTTATATTAGTAAATATAATATTCAGTTATATAAATAAATATTCTTCTAAAGAATTGAAGTAAATATATGATTCACTTATAAGTAAATTCATTATAAATGAATATATTATTAGTGAGATATTTGATTTATGAATATGTAAATATATTTATTTGCATTGTAGTTAATATATTATTTTGAAGTAAATCCTAGAATATTATTTTGTACTTATTAGTAAATAATTTGTTTATTAATAATCATATTATAATATCAATTTTCCCTTTTTCTTTATTTAGGATTGGATTTTGAGAATTGCAAAAAATTAAAGATGCAAAAATGCAAATAAAATAAAATGATTAAATAGAGAAGCAATTCTTTTGCATTCACTGATATATGTAACATTGTAATTTTAATTATATATTTATGTCATATTGACTAATGTAATTGTATCTTTAAATAATTATTTGTCGAAAAGTAATTTCTTTTTTAACCAAATGAAAGAAAGGGAGAATCAGATAGTCGAATAGAGATAAAGATTAGAAATAAATGAGGAGAGAGAGAGAGCATTTTTAAAGAGAGAAGTGTGCACGTGTGACAGATAAATATGGGATTTTTTTAGAGAGTAGGAGAGAGAGATGGGGAGAAATAAATGAGGAGAGATTACATTTAACAGATATGGTTTTCATTTGAGAGAGAATGTTATAATAAATAGAGGAATTTGTGAGAAAGAGTACAAGAGAGATAAAGTGAGAGAAGTAAACGAGGAGAGAGAAATTGCATTTTTAACTAAGAGAGTGATCGAGAGAGGCGTGAATGTATGAGAGAGAGGGTATCATAGCATTTGTGAGGATCAATTAATATTTAAGAATAAAAATATTTTTAAAATTTAAAATTTTATAATTAGATATAAAAATAGATTTTGAAATAATCTTAATAACATTTTACATCAAAATTATATACCATGATAAAATTTGAAAGTACACCTTACTTCAACAACGACAACAAATGCAACCACACCTGGCGCAAAAATAAGAGGATCTTCCTCTCGCTTTATAGATGAAAAAACTATATACAACATTATTCATACATATTTATCTATTATCAGTTATCTCTATTACATATTTATTGATTATTATTACGTATCTATTGATTATCTATTGTCACTAGAGTTAAGGGATCAACACGTGTTAAAAGAATTATCTCTAATGATCAACGTTAAGGGTGGACACATGTGAAAAGAAGAGAATAAAGTTGGCATGACATCCTAGAACTAAAGCGACTTTAAAATAGGGCGTTACATTAAAATTAAAAAATGAATTCCTTTATTAGTTATAAAGCGATGTTCCTACAATTGAATTAAGATATTTATTAATCCGATAGTTCATAATCCATAAATTTCAATTTTGAGCACTCAATAATTTGCATGAATATCATATGAAAGGGATTACCACAATGACATTAAGGGTTGTATATAATGAAACTATTTATCTTTGATATAAGATGGTGACAATTACTTACAACCATCCAATATAAAATTCGATGGTTTGAATATGTCACACAGCCCGAAAAACATATGAGGCCTACGTTTTGCACGGCGGTTGTGCATATCTAAAACCCATCTAACCTTATCATAAAAACCCTCCATCCGTGCACCCCTCTCCCTCTCTCCCCGTATAAACTTTTGTTAGAGAGATAAGATAATGTAAAACACGTTTTATTTATCTAACTAGAGTTTAATTATGACATGAACATACTTCCAATTTTATTAGGACTCCTCAGTCTCTCATGATTTCTATCTATAAATACCCGAACTAGTTCATTGTAAAAACCAATATTCCTATTGTTCTTCTCTGCTAATTGTAAAAACCAATATTCCTATTGTTCTTCTCTGCTAATTGTAAAAACCATATTCCTATTGTTCTTCTCTGCTAATTGTAAAACCATATTCCTATTTTTCTTCTCTGCTAATTGTAAAAACCATATTCCTATTGTTCTTCGCTGCTAATTGTAAAAACCATATTCTTCTCTCCAGGCTTCTCTGCTAACTACGAATTAATTCATCTCTTCTCTCTACCTTTGAGCTTTCACAATCCTTTCTCTCCAGGCTTTCAGGTTCCTGCTGCTGAATTACGTATAACGAAAGGAGCAACTTTTTCAACTGGTATGTTGAATTCTTACTGTCTCTTTTCGTGTTTTTTTTTTTTTTTGTATCACTCAATTCATTAGGAATTACTATTGTGGAAAATTTAAGTACGAATATGGTTTTTTTTTACCGTAATAACGATATGGCTTCAACTGGTATGTTGAATTCTTACTGTCTCTTTTCGTGTTTTTTTTTTTTTTTGTATCACTCAATTCATTAGGAATTACTATTGTGGAAAATTTAAGTACGAATATGGTTTTTTTTTACCGTAATAACGATATGGCTTGAAAATATGTTATTATTACCTAGAAAGATGCATCCATGATTTTTATCGTTATAACGATATGGCTTATCGTTATAATAATATGGCTTGAAAATACATTGTTATTACCTAGAAAGATGCATCTATGGTTTTTTCTTTTTTGTCAAGTTTGCACCCGGTCTAATGTTTGAAACATCGGACTGACCGATTTATTTTACCCCCTCGAAAACTTGCTCTCTTCTTTCTCTGTCTCTTCTCTTTTCCGGTGGCTCCTCCTCCTTATCCATGAAAACATCGTGGATGCGTCCTTCTAGATAATAGCGTCCTATTTTCAGCCCATACCGTTATAACGGTAAAAAAAAAAAAATCCAGTCTGTATTTAAATTTTCCTACCATGGTTTACTATTGCTAAATCGTATATGGAAAACAACAGTAGACATCAAATCTCGTTGAAGTATGCACCAGCCACTATTCCTATTTAATTTCATTAGCTCAATAATCTATCAACCCAATGGCCACTGTTCCTATTGAATTTCGTTAACTCAATAATCTATCAATCTAGTGGTTGACAATCCAGGAGTTCCAATTCTAAACAATCCAATAATTCCCGTTCTACGCGCTTAATAACTTAAATGGCTTGAAACCTCCGTTTTATATGCAGGTTGTGCATATCTAAAACCCACCTAGCCTTATCATAAAAACCCACGATCCATGGTCCGGTCCTATCATGAAAACCCATCATTCATGGTCCGGTCCGGGCCTCTCATGATTTCTATCTATATTCTCTCTTAATTTGCACTTTTGTTAGAGAGATAAGACTCTAACTTTTGTTAGAGAGAAGATAATTTTAAAAATGTTTTCTCTATCTAACCACAATTTAATTCTGAGATGAACATACTTCCTATTTTATTAGGACTCCTCCCTGTCTCATGATTTCTATGTATAAATTCCTTAAGTACCAGTTAATTGTAAAAAACATATTCCTCATTCACCATTATTGTTCTTCTCTGCTCATGATTTCTATGTATAAATTCCTGAAGTACCAGTTAATTGTAAAAAACATATTCCTCATTCACCATTATTGTTCTTCTCTGCTAACTACCAATTAATTCGTCACTCTTCTCTCTTCTTCTGAGCTTTTACAATCCTTTCTCTCCAGGCTTTCTGGTTCCTGCCGCGGAATTACCTGTAACGAACGGAGAAACTTTTTCAACCGGTATGTTGAACTCTTGCTTTCTCATTTCCTGGTTTTTTTTTTTTATTATTTGAAGTTAGTATCACTCAATTCCTTAAGGATTACTGTTGTTTAAGAAATTTATTGAGCCCCAATGATCATGATGTCTATACATATATAGGATTATGCTAAATTTTGTTTTTTTTTTTTAAATTTTAATTATTGTTTTGAAAACCTAAGAAAGTTGACATTTGTCTTAATTTTTATTTTAATTATGATTATTTATTGTTTTAAAATAGCAATTAAAGATAAGGGATATGAAAAATCATGTATCTTTGCGTAATAAATTTCCAATAGATAAGGTTCTTTAAATTCTCAAATAATATTGATCCAGTAAGTTTCTATTTTCTAGTGAATTAAGAAATATTTTTATAACTACTTTTCATCTTTTAATCTATATATATATATATATCAATTTAAAATATGAATTTTCGAGATTAATGGTTTATTGCCTGCATTGCACATGCAGTGGACTAAATAAATACAAATTGTAACTATTTGGGCAAGCAAAATCACTCTCTTGAGAGAGGTTGATTAAGATAGAACTAGCTTTCGCCCCTGGAACAAGGGCGTTTGTGGAGTTTACTTTGCTAAAATCAATTTGTAGTGACAAGTAATCCTTGAGATTAGTTCTAGACATTAGTACGGTAAAAGTTGTTAATATGGTCATGGGACTATCTAACTCCACTTTAAAATACAATAATGTAGAGTATCTCAAAAAATTTAGAGAAGGAAACTCTCATATTTTAAGTTTTAATGAAACTAAGTATCTTAAAATTTTAGAGGGAAATTACATCAAATTTTAGAGAAAAGTATATCAATTTTCAGAGAAATTTCCTCAATTTTAGAGAGAGAAACTATCTCAAAAATTTTAGAGAGATAAACTATATAAAATCTTAATTGTAAAGAGAGAAAATATTTTTAAAATTTTAGAAAGAGAAACTATGATAAACTTTAGAAAGAAAAATTGTCAGAAATTTTTTAGAGAGAGCAATATCTAAAATTCTTTAGCGATAAATTATCTCAAATTTAAAATTTTAGAGATAAAAAAATATGAAAATTTTAGAGATAGAAATTATATCAAATTTTAGAGAGACAAAAATATTACAATTTTAAATATAGAAATTATATCAACTTTTAGACAGAGTACCTAAAAGAATTTAGAAAGCGAAACTATCTCAAGAAAATTGATAGATAAACTATTGCAAATTTTATGGTTTAGAGATAAAATATCTTAAAAATTCTAGGGAGAGGAATTATATCGAATTTTAGATAAAGAAAGTACTTTAAAGTTTTAGAGAGAGAAACTATTTCAAAATTTTAAGTTTTATAGAGAGAGTATATATTTTATATATCAAATTTTAAAGGCAAACTATCTCAATATTTTAGAGAGAGAAATTATCTCAAAATTTAAGTTTTAGAGAAATTTAAGAGAGAATAACTATATCAAATTTTAAAGAGATAAAATACTTAATTTTTAGAGAGAGAAAGTATTTAAATTTTTAGAGAGAGAAACTATATCAAACTTTTTAAAGAGAATTTGTCTCTAATTTTAAGTTTTAGAGAGAGAGAGACAATATCTTAAAATTTTAGAGATAAACTATATCATATTTTAGAGAGAGAAACTACATAAAATTTAGAGAGAAAAACTATCTCAAAACTATTAGAGAGGAAATGTATCTCAAATTTTAAGTTTTAGAGAGTGTAGCAAAAAATTTTAAAGAGAAACTATATTTTATTCTATAGAGAAAAAGCACCTGCAAATTTTAGAGAGAGAAACTATATCAAAAAATTTAGAGAAATAATTTCAAATTTTAATATTTGAAGAGAAAGTACATTCAAATTTTAGAGAGATAAACCACACTAAATATTAGAGAGAGAAACTAAACAGTTTTAAGTTTTATGTTTTGGAAAAAACCTATATTAAAATTTTAGAGAGAGAAACCTTATCAAATTGTAGAGAGAGAAACTATCTAAAAATATTTAGTGAGAGACTCCCAAATTTTGAGTTTCAGAGAAAAAAAGTATACTAAAATTTTAAAGAGAGAAACTGTAACAGAGTTTGTGTCCAAACAAAAGATTTGAGGAATCCATGAATTTTGTAACCTTTATCTAAACAAAAGATTTGAGGAATCCATGACAAGAATTCTTGATATTGAAGATCCAAATATTTTTTTGGATTTCAAATATTCCTCCAATTCAAATGGACCCTCAAAAGGATTAATTTGAAATAAATTGCTGTAATTTATTAACTGAATGTTCTTACTTTTTTTCTGTTCTAAATTTGGTTTGAGCAGCATAATGTTTTCTAGTATTCAAAAACTCAGAAAGTAATGTGTCGAAAGTTTTATGAGACTTTAGAAAAACAATTTTGCAAATACCAATTACGGGAACTTTGTCATAAATCCTAATATATAATGTTTAATTTGAATTTGACTCTCTCGCTCTCTAATCTCGTTATTTCAATCAATCAACAAGAAAAATTGTATAAACTTCAAAACAATGGTTTCTTTGGTATCTTTATCTAGCTCTCAGTTAACATTGCAGCGAAAATGACTACAGAAAATAAGGAACAATTAAAATTCACCTTCTCTATCTTAAACATGGAAACCACCTATTATTGTGGTTTATCTCTCTCTAGGTGAATATATGTGGACCCAGTTGTAAGTTAGCCGGAAAAACTGCAGAAACCTCAAAACAATGAAATATCTGGTTTTTCTTCTCTATCTCCAACTCATCTGGATATTGAAAATTATAAGAACTTGGAAACAATTAGAATGTTGGCTTTCCTCTCTAGCACTAACTGAATTTTACTTGTAGATTATAGGAAAAATAAAGTTTGTACCATAAGTAAAAAGAGTCTTATGCACGTCCAAATTTATGCAAATTTTACTGGGATGTCCACCCAGCATGCTCTTGTTGCTTTTGCAAATTTACTCCTTCGTATAATGTTCAAAACATCATGCTACCGTTCCTTTTTTCTTTTCTGTTTTTTAGTGTATGTGTATGTCTTTGATTCGAAAAAAAGGGGCAATGGTAATTGCTACATGTTTACAACATCAAACTACCCATCTCAAGGGCAGAAACATAAGACAAGCTTAAAATTATTACCCCCTCATGGCCATCCCTACACTTAAAAAAATAAAAAATAAAAAAACAACGTGTCTATCGAATCATGGGTAAAACCAGGCGGGAGGGGGGCGCAATATTTTACGGGGTGGATCTCCACGTAAAATTTGCATAAACATAAACTTGCGTGGAATACCCCCTTTTACTTATGTCATGGACGTAATTTTCCTAGATTATATAAACTTGAGAATATTATGATATTGGTTTACTCTATTGCTTTTTCATTTTTTTATATAGGCTTTTTTTTTTAGTAAAAGTATGGAAACTTAGGAACAATTTGAATTATGGTTTTTCTATATCACTAACTCCTTTTTTCAATATCCTTTTGTTTTTTGTGACAGAATCACCCATTGTTTCAACAATGGTGTCAAAGGAAGATCCCGAGTGCACCTTATACAAATGGTCAATGGGTCACTTTGAATTTACTCCTATTTTTGGTTCCTACACTGAATCTGTAAGGAAAATTTATTATTTATTGTTTATACCATCTCTTTCTTAATACCTGATCGAAAAGTCGTTTATGTATCGGGAGACGCACTTCTACATTTGCGTCCCTTGAGGTATCAAACATCCATATTTAAGAAGGATGTAAAGTTGTGGTCCCTCCTGAAAGAATAGAATCTAAAGGTTGAGAACTTTTCCCCAAAACATTATCTTGTTAGCTTTTAAATTTTTTCTTTCTTACATAGTAATAATCTCCATGACCACGTATATCTGAATGTACTGGTTTTTTTCTTTTAAAAATTTACATAATCTCCATTTTTTATTTTTTATTTTTGTTCTTATTCTTTCTTTCTTCTTTTTTGTCTTCTTATTTACTTTCACAGGCAAGCAACAATCCTCCTCTGCCATCTCTCAGCAACATGAATTCGGGAGAGACAAGAATGAATGGCTCATTTAGTTCAATTAACCCACACAGCAGCAGATATTTTCATTTTCAAAATCAGCATGGCACTACAAGCCAAATTGTAACCGGAAAAGAAGAGGTTTTGGGTCGGACCAATCCGGACCAAGCATTTCAAAAACTTGGTTCTTCTCATGTGAATAACACTAACACACTCGGGGATCAATTCATAGTGAATTCACAATTCCCAACTGCTAGAGTTGATTATGGTACCGTTGGAGAAATTTCGGTAGTTTCACCAATTCAAAATGGTTTGACTGTCCGAAATGGCAATGATTCCAATCTATGTCCATACCATTCTTGTTTCGCCTGTTTCGCTCAGAGAACCCAGCTTGAGAGGCAGAATGAAATTGGCATGGAAGAGGCGTCGATTCCAACGTATTTTACCCAGCAATTTTCGAGACTCGGTTTCAACGATGATTTGCCATTCAACCTTGTTGGGTCATCATCCTTATCTCCCTATAAGGATGAGCATATAAACCTCTATAATAGATCTGGCTCTGAAATTGACTGGGGAATGCCCCGTTCAACACAAACTCCAGATAAATCTTTTTTCTTAACAAGTACTAGTAACTCTTTGGAGAATTCGAGACATTTTTCATCTCGAGATATAGAGAGAGGGAATACAGGAATCTTAACAAGTACTAGTAACTCTTTGGAGAATTCTTTTTCATCTCGAGATATAGAGAGAGGGAATACAGGTAAACAAACATCTCAAGATCCAACAGCGAATTCATCTCGAGATATAGAGAGAGGGAATACAGGAAAACAAACATCTCCAGATCCAACAGTGAATCAGCATTCTCTTGAATGTATCCTTATGTTTAAGGATGGTGCTGCAATGCTTGACTTTGCTTGTAAAAACAATGGTTCACTTCTCCTGCAAAGCTTCCTAACCGGAGAGGGAGCGAATAGAGTCGACGATATACTTAAACTCCTTCTGAGTTCCATAATTGAGCTAATGTGTTCAGAGTATGGAAACTATGCCTTTCAAAGGCTTTTTGAGGTGTGTAACAATGATCAAAAGAGAAAAATTACTCTTGCTATGTTGAACAAAGGGAACCTCACGAGCATTGCAGCCGACTCTTACGGGTATGTGGGCATTGTCATTTTGATTAGCCAATTCTCATTTCAAACTTCTGGGATTGACATTTATAAATTTAAGCATTCCTTTTAAAAGATTATGTATTTTGCTGATAATGTTCTCGACACTTTGACAGGACGCGTTCCTTGCAGAAGCTAATTGTAAATCTCAAAGACTCCAAACTTATCGGCAAGGTGATGTCTGCTCTTTCTCCTGGGCTTATAGACCTGATGGACAATAAAACTGGCAAGCATATTGTCAACCTTTGTATCGAATGCCTCAATCGAGAACAGAACTTGGTATGTACCCATTATATGTACTCACTTGTTCAACCATTTGGTAATCTCCATATTGTTGAGGTTGGCTTTGCCATGAAATTTCTTTATTGCTAGAACCAATATGATTTGAGTAATTTGTGCAGACTTTGTTCGTGTTAACGTGTTTTTCTCTCTTATTGGCAGTACATATATAAGTTTTTGGTGGAAAATTGCATCGATTTCTCATGCCATCAACAAAGATACCGAGTTCTTACTAAATGGATTGATAGATATAGGGGAGATTCGGGTGATCAACTTTTGATGAAAATAGCTGAGAACTGTTTGCTCCTTTCAAAGCAGGAATTCGGGTATGATATCTTTTGATTCTTTTGCATTCTCAGACATGTTACTCTATTTAGTCACGAGGATGTCCATACTAATAGATTATACAATCTCTTCCGTGCTTACATTTCCAATTTCTTAAATAGAAGACAAAGGGGCATGATTCATATCCATAAATGTGATTGGAGTTTCAATTTCTTTTTTTGTGCAGAAATTTTGTTGTGCAGGCAGTTCTTCTCAATATTCCGAATTTCCGAGTAACTATAATCAATAAGCTTAAGGGGAACTTTTTGCAATTGTCCATGGGGAAACATAGTAGCTATGTTGTCCAATGGTGCATTGAAACTACTCGAAGTGCATGCATAATTCAAGAGCTGCTAGCTTACCAAGATCGCTCCCAGCTTTTCCATCATCAACGTGCAAACTATGTCATAGCAACAGCTTTGGACCATTATGAGGTGCAATAACCATTAGCCATTATTCATATTTTTCTCATATTCTTTCCAAATCTAATTCTAGCTCTGGTCGGACCTCTTTTTAATATACCAGTGACACAAATAGTACTTTATGTTGTCTCATGTTCTTCTTAGTGTTATGGAGAGGGTATGCTAACAAAGTGACTATTTATGCAGGGTGAAGTCCTTGATGAGCTAGTAAGCGCCATAGACAAGGAGAACCTCATATTCTGTCCCTCTACATCAGGCATCCTCAAAAAATTAGCATGCATAAAGAATGCGAGAAAGATCCAAAGACATGAGATCTTTGGAAGTAGAACCCTTTCATGTGCATTCCAGTACAATTGGAATAAGCAACGGATTTTTTGTTCATAAGTAGATAAATCTATAATTATGTACTTGAAAATGTGATATTGTCACAAAAGGAAATAGAAAAAAAGAATCATTATTCTTTTGTAATGCATAGGCATATCATGAATCAATTCTCAGAGGAGTCTTATGTAGAGTCTTATTTTCGTGTACATTTCTTTTATAGATCACAGTCCATAGAAATGTGCATGGTGGGGTTTCACTTTGTGTTTTTACACCTATCTGTCTTATTTAATCGTGTGGATCATATTTACTTGTGGGTTCCTTTTTTCTTTTGGTTTCGTACTCATATCTATCTTATTGAAATTAAATGTGCTAATTTGATAGCACAGGCCATTGGGAATAAAATAAATCCTTAAGAAAATTAATGGGTGATGGAGGACCACTTTCAGCTATTTAATCAAGGACAAGCTTTCTATGCTTCCCTTACAACATAAAACTTATATACTTCCCCTTATCCTCCATTCCGAATGCCAGCCCTCCATTCAGCTAAGATTGTCCCAATCACAATGTCATGTCTCTACACAATTTGATTTTTTATTTATTTCTATAAACTATTTTGACACCAAATTTTGTTCGTCCCTATTAAATTCCCAGTATCAAAAAATATAAAAAAATGTATTACTAATAAAATAAAATTATCAAAATACCCCTGGAAATTTCAAGGGGTATTTTGGTCATTATATTTTATCAAAAATTTATTTTAATATTTTTTATAGGTGTGCACCAATGAGAAGATGGCACGTACCAAATTTCATATTCATACAATTTGTATAAAAAAAAAAACAAAGCTAAAAATTAAGTGCTTTGAGACATCGGATCTAAGATCAAACGGTGAGTGACTCTCTCGTTCAAAATTGGACAACTGAATGGTAAGAGAAGCATAGATCTTTTATGATGTAGGGGAAGTATAGAAATATTTCCCTTTAATTAATAATGGGAAAAGTTTATAAAGAACCGAGGCTCTAAACAATCAAATTTGAGCCTACCTCAAAAATTACACTAGAAGAGGTTGTTTTGGTGCCCAAACATCTTCAAATAGATAATCACGACATCAATATGCATGGCTATGAGAAAAAAAAATAGATTTCAAGTTTTGAAATAGTGTATTTAATAAGACAATTTTTTACAGTCAATTTTCAAGATTTTCAAGTTTTAATAGATCTCTCGATCTATACTATTTTTGAAGCTTTAAACTTTATAAATAAATAGGAAAATATAATTTAAAGGTATCATAAAGATTTTCAGTACTGAAACCACATTTTTCGACACTATTTGAAGGTAAGCTCTAATTGGATTGTTTAGATCCTAGGCTCTATACGAACCGCACCCATTAATAATACATTCACTTATAATATATATACTTAAGTGAATCATATATTTACTTAACTTTTTTAGAAGAATATTTGTTTATAAATAAATAATATATTTATTAATATAAATAAGTATATTTCAAATAATTTTTTAAAAAATGTAATTGAGAATGTAAAACGAAAAATAAAGACACAACAAAGGAATTAAACTAAAATATAAATTGTATTGGTAAATATATACTTAAAATTATAGTTTATTGGCAAGGAAGAATTATTTCAAATAAATAGTCATACAAAAATACAAATTACATCAGTTATAATTTTAAAATTATTGTATTACTTATATTATTAAATGCAAAATGAAAAGAAGATTCCTTCTTTATTATTTTTTATTCATTAGTCTTTTTACTTTTATTTTTCTTTCTTCTTTTTGTAAAAATTTGCTACCAAATATTGTAATAATTCTTTATTTTAAGTTGTGGTATTAATAAAATAATACTTAGTGGCGGTATTAATAATATAAAAATTATTACTATGATAAACAGAATAATGACATTGTCATTGTATTTAACAATAATTCTATGTTTATTACTAATATTACTTTTTCTTTTCCTTTTTATTTTTCTTCCTTTTTATTTTTTAATGTTTGTTAAAAAATTGCTATCAAATATGGTAATAATTTTTAAATTTAATAATAATCATTTTATAGAATTTTAACAATTAATTTATGTTTATTGTTGATATTAGTGTTCTTTCTTCTTCTATGTAATATCTCTTTCCTACTCTCACTCTCTCAACAAGTTCTCATATTTTTATCATTTGTATTCTCTCTTTTTGTTAAAAATGTGATCTCTCTCCATATTTATTTCTATTTCTTATTATTATCTCCTATCTACCATCTCTCTTTCGCCTAGATAGAAAAACTATTTCTGTTAAAAATGTGATCTCTCTCCATATTTATTTCTATTTCTCATCTTTATCTCCTCTCTACCATCTCTATCTTTCACCTAGATAGAAAACTATTTTGGACAAGTAATTACTTAAATTTTCAAATAAAACAATAGAATTCTTAACAAATAAATTATTTACTCATAAGTGAAAAATAAATATTCATGAATTTGCTTCAAAATATTACGTTTACTACAATATCAATAAATATACTAAATAAATATATTTACTTACAAGGAAATAAACTATTTTGTTAATTATATACTTGCTTATAATCTACTTACTTATAATTGAGTAATATATTTACTACAATTTTTTAGAAGAATATTTACTTTTCAGTAAAAGATATATTGATTAATATAAGTAAATATAATTTCAACTAATTTCGTAAAAATATCTACATAAGAGTTCAAAAAAAAAAAAAAAAAAGGGAAAATAATGTATATATCTATTATATTTACCGTTATTACAAAAATACCTCAAAGTTTTTGTTATTACTCATATATATGTTTTTTCAACTTCCTAACAAAATTTTTTAGAAAAACAGGAATTGCTTATTTTCAATTTTTTTAAAACTGAAATCTTTAAAAATTTTGGCTTTTCAAAAACAGAAATTTTTAAAATTTTTGGTTTTTAAAAATAAAAAATTAAGATTTTTCAGTTTTTGAAAAGCCAAATATTTATACTATAAGCGAACTTCTTATTAGTAAGTTGGGTTGGCGTGTTGGTATAGCTTCCTAGGCAATAGACCTCTTTACAATAGGCCTTGGCTTCCATTATGATGGGGCCTATTTATTTTTTATAACTCCAAAAAAAATGATGTTTTTTAATTTAATTATTCTAATACCTCAAATCCAAATTAGATAGTTTTAATAAAAATAAGGTGTGGTTTCTATAACGTTGCAACCTTAAACAATCCAATTAAGGCGCACCTCCAAATTTTATCATAACATGTAATTTTGAAGTAAAAAACTATTAAGATTATCTCAAAATCTATTTTTATATCTAATTATAAAATTCTAAACTCCAAAAATGCTTAAAATCAAGAAGGTCTATAAACGTTTTAAAATCTTGAAAATGGACGGTCTAGATGATGCATTATTTCTGAGACTCAAAATCTTTTTTTGTTATTTCATATTCATACATATCGTTGTCGATATGATTGATTAGAGAGTTTTTCCACATTAAAACAACCTTTTCCAAAGGATTTTTGAGGTGCATCTGTAATTCTACATTTAAGGTTGCAATCTTATATAAACTTTTTTCATAAAAATATGGAGAGTAATTTATGTAGGGCAAGCTTTCTATGTTTTCCCTGCAGCATAAAACTTATATGCTTCACCTTATCCAACCGTCCATTCTAAATGGAGGGCTAAGATTGCCCCAATCACAATGTTACGTCTCTACACTATTTTATTTTTTATTTTTTTCTATAAAATATTTTGATACCAAATTTTGGATGTCCAATCCTCTATTAAACTCGCACTAGAGAAAAATATTTCTAATAAAATAAAATGACAAAAATACCCCTAACAGTTTCAAGACTTATTTTGGTCATTATATTTCATCAAAAATTTATTTTTAATACTTTTTATAGGTGCACCCCAATGATAAGATGGCACATACCAAATTTCACATTCATACAATTTTTACAAAAAAACCAAAAAATAAAATACTTTGAGATGTCGGATCTAAGATCAAATAGTGAGCGGCTCTCTTGATCAAAATTAGATGGCTGGATGGTAGGGGAAGCATAGATCTTCTATACTGTAGGGGAAGTATAGAAACCTTTCCCATTTATATAAGGGAAAAGTTTATATAGAGTTGAGGCTCTAAATAATCTAATTAGAGCCTACCTCAAAAATTTTACTAAACGAGGTTGTTTTGATGCCCAAGTATCTTCAAATTGATCATCTCAATGTCAAGATGCATGGACATGAGAAAAAAAATAGATTTCAAGTTTTGGAAATAGTGTATTTTGTACCGCATTTTTGTACATTTTCAAGTTTTCATAGATCTGTCGATCTACATTATTTTTTAAGCTTTAGACTTTATAAATAAAGAAGAAAATACATTTTTAGGCTATCACAAAGATTTCCAATATTGAAACCATATTCTCGGCACTATTTGAAGGTAGGCTCTAATTTGATTGTTTATAGCCTAAGCTCTATACAAACTGCACACATATATGTAATGGTTTTATAGTAATGTAATGGAATAAAATTCCAAAATTATGCTAGGGTCATTTCGTTTGACCCCAATTCTTAAGCACATAGTCATTTTATATTATTAAAATAAAAATTATTAATATATTTGGTAGCAAAAAAAATAATAGAGAAGGAATTTTATTTTCATTGTGCATTTAGTAATATAAGTAATACCACAATTTTATAATTATATTATTTACTTATTTAATTTGTATTTTTCTGTAATTATTTATTTGAAATAAGTCTTCCTTGCTAATAAAATATAAGTTTAAGTATATGATTTTACCGATATAATTTATATTTTTTGATTAATTCTCTTTAGTTTGTATTCTTTATTTTTTTGCTTTTTACATTTCTTCAACTTTATATATTTTTTACTAAT